ATTCAAAGCGATTAAAATTCGCATCAAGATAAAAACTTTAGATTAAACACAAGCCTATAAACGGGCACATCACTTTACTTCACGAAAATTGTTTATCGCGTAAACCTGTTTACTGTGCAAATCTTTTGGCAGCGCGCCAATTCTCATGCAATGTTGCTATCTTCAATTATTCTTCATAAGATCCTTCCTCGTTGGAATTTAAGCGGTGCCCCCGCAATTAATTTTGAGCTATACCTTCTACAGCACAAATTAACGGGTATTAGACATGGAAATTTGTTTGATGAATTGTTTGAGATATATTGTTTGTATTGTTTTTGTTTATGTCAATGTTTGACATTTTGTGTATAGTTTGTTTAAAACATGTTTCAAGTTCATAATTTGGTATAATCTAATCTTGAATATACCTATATAAATTCTTAGACAGAACAGATTGTAATATAGAAACCAATATTCCAAAATTGAAAAAATCTGCTTTTGTGATTTGACGACAACTATGTCAATACTTCAACGAATGTTTTAGTCGTTAAAAGTAAGAAAGTAAATAAAACATAAATCAAGATAGTTCTTTATTGATTAAGAAACCACGGCCTCTGCTTGGACCAGGAGGAGGAACGAGGTATTTAGTAAGTAAGAGTCTGAAACTCGCTCTTGCCAGGCGAGAAATGTGATTTGATCAATTTCCCTCCACAATAAAAAAAGACAGTTATGGATCAGTAAGAGATTTACACTATCTCCTCAAACCACCCTGAGTGTATCTTCAAAGACTAAAAAAAACAACGATGTATCACAAAAAACGTATTAATAAAATCGACCACAATGGCGTGCTAATAGTATATCATTAAAATGAACGCATCCCATCTATAAAATGACATAACACGCTAATGTTTTAAGTGCGTATAACGCCTACGACGTGTTGACACTGTTACGAACTCCAATAAAAGTTCTTATAATTGAGAAGTGGGGGGAAAAGTTCGAATATAATTTTTTATCACCGACCGAAACATTGGTTTGGAGTAATTTTTGAAGACAACGACTTTAGACCCCAATTTTATATTTTAACAGTCATTTTAGATAGCCTTTAAATTTATTTGTTTTTAAAGTTTGTTTCAGTTTTTTGTTTGTTAGTGAATAGACGAAATTTTTTTAGCTTCGAAGAATTAAAAGTTAATTTTAAAATTAATAGCAATTGAATTGCACTGTGTTCACTAAATTATGTCAATATTTTAAGAGTATAATACTGATATAAATAGAAAACATATTCGCTATATTTTATTTTAAAATAAAATAAGTTTTGAGTTTAACGCAGATAACCCAAATTATCCAAACTATAATAGTATTATAAATGCGAAAGTAACTCTGTCTGTCTGTTTATTTGTATTTACTTCACTCCTAAATTACTGAACCGATTTCTATGAAATTTGCTACAGACATAGATTGGAAGTTTAGAAAGGATATACATAGTTTTTATACTAAAAATCTGCAGGAAGTCACTATTCCACGTGAACGTAGTCGCGGGCAAAGCTAGTGTTCACTACATAGCTAATGTTCCAATGAATAATAATACTATGTACATAGCAATTTATCAAATGAAATAGAAAGACATTCGGAAAAGGGGACGATTAAGTGGAAGTTCCTCATTTTCTCAACCCTTCATTCGGTTTTGACAAATGAGGTGTTACTCGATCCGTCTTCGCCTTAACAGTTCGCTATAAAATATAGAAATTATTATTTTACGTGATTAATATCTTGAATTTATTTTTAAATGGGTAATTTTTCACATCGATTTAATTAAAACTTTGTTTTGAATATCAATAAAATTCTTGATAATATCATAATTTTTGTTTTCCTTAATCATTGCTTAAAATAATGAGGTAAGTTTACATTATTCAACAACTGTTTATAGAAGACAATAATAACAATCCTTCTTATTCCAGAAAAGGAAAGCAAGGGTGCTCAAATACGAAGTCATATCCACTTTTACCAATTACATACTACCAGAACACTAACATTAAAGATTTAATTAAGCGTACATATGATTTCATAAATACTATGTATAAGGTATAAAGCAATTAAAGCAAATGCAACATTTATGACTCACAAGTGTATATTATGTACTATATAAGTAACAAACTAAACAAAACTGAATACGTTTTCGGCTATCCTTTTAAAGAAAACATGTGTGATATCAGCAGTAACTCTGTAAAGTGCCCTAGAAAAAATACCGGATGATCCGAAGTAGTGTACGGGCCTTATAGGGTCGTGAGATTTTCCTTCGCACTTCAGATCGAATCCGGTCGGGAAAAAAATGTAACCGGGAAGCCGGTTCGGAAAGATTCCGAAGTAGGCTATAGCTGTTACTAGCCAAGCTTATTGTATATATTTGCGTGTTGGATATTGGCGTTGGGTTTTTTTGCTATTCTTTTGTTTATTATATTGTAGTATTTTTGTTTGTAGGTGTAGATTTGTGTGTGCAGTTAATTGGTTTGCAGGTACAAAAATTAAAAGTAATTTAATACAAAGACAACCATTATGTAGCTACTGAGCCAAAATATATTTTTGAATAAATGATTTTTTTCGTTTTTGATGATTGTTGAAAAATTACATTTCGTAGCGACTTACACTAATTAGCAACCGCAATGCGGCTTGAAGCCGGATCGGGATGGGTTTTAGTCGGTAAGAGTCTGACACCCTCTCTACCTAGCGAAAGAAGTCACACGCTGATTTTCCTCCTCAAAAAAATTATAAACTATCTGTCCAAAAATTTATTAGAGTTAGTCATAGAATTTTAATAAAATATATATGTGAAATGTTTCGACAGTCTGTATGAAAACTGTCAACATTGACAGTGAAGCTGACAGATGTAGATATCAACAAAATGTTGATTAGTTATCGAATTGTAATAATACAACATAATAATATACAATATAATTATAAAACAATTATACTTACATATCTATGTCATCATCATCATCAGCCTGTTGTCGTCCACTGCTGGACATAGGCCTCCCCAATTGCACGCCACTGAGCTCGATGTTCAGCTCTTCTCATCCAACCACTGCCAGCCACCCTGCGGATGTCGTCAGTCCACCTAGCTGGAGGGCGCCCTACACTACGTTTGCCTAGACGTGGTCTCCACTCTAGAACACGTTTACTCCATCGGTCATCGGTTCTTCGACAGATGTGACCTGCCCACTGCCACTTAAGTTTGCTAATCCTTTGGGCTATGTCAATAACCTTAGTTCTCTGTCGGATCACCTCGTTTCGAATACGATCCTTCAGAGAGACTCCAAGCATAGCCCTTTCCATAGCTCGCTGAGCGACTTTAAATTGGTGGATCAGTCGCACTGTAAGTGTCCACGTCTCGGCTCCGTATGTCATCACTGGTAGGACGCACTCATTGAAGACTTTTGTCTTCAGGCTTTGCGGTATCTTTGACGAGAATACCCGACTGAGTTTCCTATACGCTGCCCAGCCAAGCTGTATCCTCCTACGAGCCTCCCTCTCGAAGTTGTTTCTACCGAACTGGATAGTTTGCCCGAGGTAGACGTACTCTTGAACAACCTCGAGAGGAGATCCATTGATGGTGATCGGCTCCGGGAGAACATGTTCATTGAACATGACCTTCGTTTTTTGTAGGTTCATCCGGAGTCCGATGCGAGCAGAGGAATCAGCCAGGCTGTTCAGCATATATTGTAAGTCCTGCACGGTTTCAGCCACGATTACAATGTCATCTGCAAATCTCAAGTGTGAGAGATACTTGCCGTTAATATTTAGGCCCCGGCCTTTCCAGCGCAGCGTCTTGAACATATCCTCCAAAGCATTAGTAAACAGTTTGGGGGAAATAACGTCCCCCTGTCTTACGCCCCGATGCAGGTGGATAGGTTCAGACTGCTGGTTCTGTACTTGAACGACCATAGTGGCAGCATCATATAGATCTCTCAACACTTGAACATACCGCCAGTCGACTTGGTACCGTTGCAAGGACTCCAGAACAGCCCAGGTTTCGACAGTATCAAAGGCTTTCTCGTAGTCCACAAACGCCAGGCATAAGGGCAGATTATACTCTTCGGTTTTCTGTACAATCTGCCTCACTGTATGTATGTGGTCCACGGTACCATATCCCCCTCGGAACCCGGCCTGCTCAGGGGGCTGAAACTCGTCGAGTCTTCGCGCGAGACGATTTGTTATGACCCTGGAAAACAGCTTATAGACGTGGCTCAGAAGAGAAATAGGTCGGTAGTTCTTCAGAAGGGTTTTGTCTCCCTTTTTGAAGAACATAATGACGACACTTTTGCCCCACGCCCTTGGAGTTCTCCCCGAGAATAGAACGGAACCAAACAAGCGTTTAAGTCGCTCAAGCACTGGCTTTCCACCGGCCTTTAGGAGCTCCGTTGTAATTCCATTCTCTCCGGGGGCTTTTCCATTTTTAAGCTGCTTCAAAGCCAACGCAATCTCGTCTTGGCTGATCTCTGGCATGTCTTCGGTAAAGTGGCGGATAAGTGTGGCCCTAGGATCCCCCGAGTCTCGATATGGACGCGGTGCTTTTGAGGTGTACAGATCACCGTAGAAGCGCCGAACCTCCTCGAGAATTTCCGGCTTAGAAGAGACGATATTACCATCCGGTGTGGTCAACTTCGTCAGATGGCTTCGATTTAATTGCTGGCTGAAGACTTTTGACCCCCGGTTTCGCTCAATCGCTTCTTTTATAGCGCGAGTATTGGCGCTTCGGAGATCACGTCTTATCAGCTTTGAGATCTTTTTATTAAGATCTGACGAAGCGACTGATGTGTTGTTATCTATGTAATTATTAGAATTGTACTGATGATTTTGAATTGCTGTTGTAATTATGAAAATATATGAACTCGTACTTGTACATACATAATTATGATCGGAGACCAACCAATATGTCGATTTTGGCTCATAAGTAATGGGCCAAAATTGTACTAAAAATTTGGTATATTTTTTTATGTTAAGTGTGGGAGAGCCATGATTCAGCACGAATGGGTCGGCTCGACCGGAGCGATACCACGGCCTCACAGAATACCGACGTGAAACAAATGGTAAGCAATCAGCGCCGCCCATGGACATCCGCAACACCAAAGGAGTTACGAGTGCGTTGCCGGTCTTTTGGGGACAGGGGTTGCGGATATAAGGATTGGGAAGGGATAGGGGAAGAGGAGGGATTGGGCCTCCGGTAACCTCACTCACACGGCGAAACACAACGCAGTGGGTTGTTTTACGCCGGTATTCTGTGAGGCCGTGGTATCACTCCGGTTGAGCCGACCCATTCGTGCCGAAGCTTGGCTCTCCCACACTTTGATTGGGCAGTATGCTTAGTTTTCAGTATAAATCGACTTTAGATATTTCTAACAGTTGCGTGTACTTCTGTATACCACTTCAGAGTACAAATAGTCTTGATATTATGTTGTGTACTGAGTGATGTCACTCAATAGACATGATGAGCTTGCGACACATGAACACGATGAACGCAAACATCAATCTCATGTCAGTAGTTAATTGATTATTGGCTAATTAGTGCAGCAACAAACACGATGTTCAATTATGAATTCTTAATATTTACAGTTAAAATTTAATTTTGTTTGATAACGTAGTGAAAATTAGGATGGTGATAAATCAAAGTCCTTAAACAATATGACTTAAAATAAAATTATTATGAATATTCACTAACATTTAAATTGTCTAAAATGATCCCAAACATTTTTGCAGTATTGCCAGTAGTATGTTTTTTGTAAATTAAATTGTTTAAACTTCGAAAGTGAAACATTTGTGTGGGCATGACATTCAACCCACAAGACAAATATAAGTTTATATCAAAACAACAACAATATGAATGTTCAACGTATTGTTACAAATGCCACATACTCTCGGAATAAATACACAAGCATTCTCCATTACTTTATCTATTCCGCGCACTAACGTGGGAAGGCACGTCCCTAGCTGTTGTTTCGCTTATCTACCAAGCATATAGCGACACGTTTTCGCACTATCAGGACACAGAAATACGTCTTCACTAGAAGCTTACGTCAAAACACTTATGGTAATTTTATGCCCGCCAATCTATTTGGAGACGCTACGCGAAATTAAATAGTTTTCATCCCAACGTACTTTCAATTTATATTTAATTAAATACAATGTAATTGAATAGAGAACGTTAATTTTGCGCTTAGTAAATGCGCAAATCATGACAGTCAGTCACAAAGCTAGAACTTCTTGGGAGTTTGCATAATTGGCACCCCAGTTTTCAGTGTTACGAAGCGACAGAAGTGTCGTAAATTTTATTATCAAATTATGAACTTATTACGCACCGTGTCACCTGAAGTCGTTAGTACGAATACGAAACATGGCTCGCGTTTTAGTGTTATATGCGTAGTAATTAATTATAATATTCGTGTAAAGTTCCACGGAATATGCTTGTGGGCTGGTGTTTCTGGCAGTGAAATTCATTCGTGTAATTATATCGACGATTTATTGAGTGTGCTCGGAAGGTAAATTGGAACTTATGGCCTTCATTTGCCTTTTAGTTAGTTTTTCTTTTTTGTTTGGCTGTTTCGTTTTAGTGATCCCTGGTGTGATTACCAAGAACTAATTCTTCGAATCTAATACATTTGACTGTTCATTTTTAATACATATTATACACTTATATAAAGTTACTTAATTACATTTTATTTCAAAATTCCTAGAAGGAAGCATTCATCTATTGGAATACAAATATAACATCCGATTTTTTTTAATCATTTTGTATTTTATGAAGTAATACATTTGTACCACGAAATCGTTCGTTTCCGTCAACTGTTGCGAACTTTCCTATTAAAACCGAAACCAATTCAAGGAAAACGGAAAATCAATTAACAATACCGACTCGCAGTACCTACTGAAAATCTTGGAGACGAAACTTTCAACTACTCTTCACTTCAACCATTGCACTTCTGTCGCTTCAAATGTAAATCACTTCAAATTGATAGTACCTACCGACTCTGGATGTTGCCGCTTTGTGGTATGGGTTGTAGCTAACCGGAGCTAAATCGCAGAGCAGTTTAGCTACCCGTATTGATTCAAGCACTAGACAGTTTATATCACTGGACTCCAATAGACTTAGTACAATGCACGAGTTACGTTCAAATAAAGCGTGTGATTGCAATTTTGAGTGAACTAGTATTGATCGAATTTGTCCAGTCGATTTGAAATATTTATGTGAAAGGGAATTTGGTACGGGGATTTATTTAGTCAGTAAATTTATGTTTGTGTGTATTCAATTAGTTTAGTGCCTCTTTGGTTGGGGTCGCAAATTAAATTTCTGCGTGCGGACTTTTTAGTCTGAATTTTATTGTTAGTTTATTTTAGCATTATTGTCAAATACCGGTCTTATAATATTTCGTAACCAATAAAATCTTGCTTATTTAGAAAAACAACATACGTAGAATTTTATTGCAAGAACGAAGCTTCATTTTTTATTTTATTTTTTTATATTTCGCAAGATTTTTGCCCGAACCTTGGCCCACTGATAGAGTTATATTAAACTAATAGAATAAAAAAATAAAGCAAAATTCATACGTTTTAGATATTATAGGAATTGTTATTTTTTGTTTTTTGAGGCTTGAGTTCCGCCAGTCTCAATGAAAATTAAAGGGAAAAACTACAAAATATATTTAATTAGGTACTTATTTCTAAATAACATTTATATATTTGACTCTAAATTGGTATTTGAATGATAAATAAATAATTTTGTAACAGACAGATAAAAAATATAAAAGACTCATATAGGTACTATAAATAAAAACATAAACTACACATATAGTTCACTACAAGCAACGGTAATTACTCTATTACTACTATGTAGTTCTAAAATATGCTACAGTAATGAATATGTAGTTCCTGGTACAATTCTCGAACAATTTCGCTTACTGTTCGTACAAATGAAAGAGATTCGTATCGGACCATTTATTATTGCTGCAGTAATTCATTAACCGGAGTACCTAGTGCGAAATATTTTAGAAGCTAATTCAATTTCCTACCTAAATAATAAACGCGAAAGTTTGTAAGTATGTATGAATGGATGTTTGTTACGCTTTCACGTAAAAACATTTTTTATGTGCTGACAACCCCAGATTACCTGATGGTAAGCAATCGGCACCGCCCATGGACACCAGCAACCCTAGAAGCAAGCAAGCAAGTTGCAAATGCGTTGCCGATCTTTAGGAATGTTTATTTAGTAGATTTTTTCGGGATTGGGGAGGGAGGCGTGGAATTGGACCGTTGGTAACCTCACTTACGCGTCGAAACACTATGTTAGGTTATTTCACGCAAGTTTTCTGTAAGATCGTGGTATCACTTCGGTTAAGCCAGTCCATTTGTGTCAAAGGATGGCTCGAAGTGGACTATAGTGTAGTCGGTTACATTGCTTGGTACCTCCAACCACTACAAAAAACCATATAATCAAATCAATTGCAACAAAAAATTTGGACTTGTACAAATAAAACAACACAATTTATCAACTGAGAAAAGAACAAAAAAGAAATCTACCAATCAGCTTATGCAATATCCATCCAAAAGAAACAATAATAATCAACCATACTATGTTTTCCAACCACATAAGCTATCGACATACATTTTTGACGAAAACCAACCATGTGTGAATTTAAAAAAGACTCGATATGGTTTTAGCAAAAAGATATGAAATGAAATGGAAATGTCCGAACGCTTTCAGGTTGTTCCCAAAAATAATGAGCACTGTCTCTCGCGCCGGAGATGACAAGTCCATCATTCGAGTACGTCATTACTATCGGTTTGAATATCATGAATTTTGCATGTGTCCACTGTCCTCTAGCAACTGAGTGAGGAGGAGATATTGATACGTATGAATTTGGAATTTGATTTATTCATTATGGTGAGCTTTGTAATAGAAAATGTCTTGATGAGTTCAAAGTTTTGACTGCATGCTTGGCGCGGTGGCTGTGCAACTGGCTGCCGCGCATCGTGTCGCGGGTTCGATTCCCAAACGGAACAACTCTTTGTGTAATCCACAAATTGTTGTTCCGGGTCTGGGTTTGATGTATAAATGAAATTGTATGTTTGTAAACGCACCCATGGCACAGGAGATCCTAGTGTGGGGCAACGTTTTTTTAAAAAGAAAGAAAGAAAAAAAGGTTATAAGTAGGTAATATAAATTGCCACTTTGACAAAACAGTAGTGTGGCAACGGAGCCGCCTAAAAACCCTGCTTGAATTAAACTATGACCTTTAACCTTTTAAAGTGTCTTGAAATGTCAGCAAACCCTTCTCTGAACAGTAATTATTGAAAGTCATACAAATTCTTTTGAAAAAAAAACTACTTACTACGTAACCTATGGTTTTGCAATGCCTTATGCCTTGGAAAGTAAAAACCTTCATGATGTTGTTGGAATATTTTGAAATTCCACCAAATCGGATCGTGAGAATCGGGAAATTAATTTTTAATATTTTCTAAATTTTTTTGTACACTTTTGTATTTTAACGATATCATCAAGTATCAGAGGAGTTGACAGTTTTTGTTTTTTCTTACCCCTTTCAAAAGTATAATTTTATATACGAAATTTCCTCTGTTTTTTTATAAAACCAGCAATTTTTATATTAAAGTGTTAAAATACCATGTATAACACTGAAAAAAATGTTAAAAATCATTTCAAAAGGTAAATACTAAATACATTACATTCATGTTAATTCACCGTGTAATTGATAACCGCAACTCCCACGCAGTAAAATGAGTTTTATAAAACAATAACTATTATGGCCGGTAGTAAACGATTTGGTCGTTTGCAATAGTATTGCTTGCAGCCAAGAAATTCATTATAAAGTGCAATTTTATTTAATTACTTCATATTGCTGTAAATATAGTGTTCTTTAGAGTCAAGGATGTAATATAAATTGAACATTGGTTTAAAAATAATTTTTATTTCTATATAGGATTCTAATAAGGATTTTTGTTGTTAATTTCGGGTTTTATTCAAGATTGTTTTTTTTTATATTCAAATTTCCGCAACATCGTCGTTACTGAAAATAGCTTTTTGGATTTGTAATTGATATTTATAATAACACTAGCTACTCTCGCTGCTCGACTTCGTTTAATCGTAGCGTGATGTTTTATAGCCTATAGTACTCAGGAACATTGTAGCTATCTATCACCTATCAGTGAATTTTGGGAATCCGAACGGACCAAATATTAGATACAAACTTACAAATTTTAGTTTAGATGACCAAAAGTCTCGCTAAATTGAATATTCTTTAAGAATGTACATGTTTAATGGAACTTCGTAAAAAAAATATATAAAAACTTACCTTTTTCCGAATTAACAGCACACGGAACTTCACCAGATTCGCGCGATTCCTGCAACTGTCATCTGTCCTCGAGATGACTAGGATTGACATGACATTCTTAGGCCTGTCAAACTTTCGGGCTTTTGGCTACCGGCAACGTCTGTCATAGAAGTTTCTATGACAATTGGGACTGACGCCATTCGGGGAGTACGCTCAGAGTTAAACGTTGCGGATGAATGGTTTCTGACAGTAAATGGAGCTTACCTTGAGGAAGTTTTTGGTTAATTCCTGGAAACTTAGATACTATTGTTCATTTGCGTTAGATAGGAATAGTTTACTTGCGCATCAGTAGGTAAGATTTTAAATACATTTTCTTAAAGAATACAGTTTCTCTGTCGTACTTTTCCTTGCAAATTTATTGGATTGAGTAGGTACTTAGTTTCACTGACGGACAATTCAACTTCGATTTCTAAGGTGCTTTTTTTTAAGATAAGTTGAAATAAATACTTAGATTATGGCGTCATTTTGATGGAGGTTAAAAATAATTGCGAGTCTAGTTGTGGCATGGAATGATAATGATCTGTTTCTAAATGGTTGCCAATTTATGATTTCTAAAAATAATTTTTATATGAAAACTTTTTTGTTGATATGTTACAAAAGTGTGTTCAACTGTCGTTTTATTTACTGAGTTAGTTATACAAGCAACGCTATGCTTCCCATGATCCAACAAGGCTATTATAAAATTATTTGTAAACGTAAATTTCTTACTGTAAACATTCCTTTTTAAATGAAATAGTTCAAGTTTGAAGAAAATAGCGCACAAAAGTTTGCACTACTAAATTTCTAGAGGCGAAATGACGGGAATTTAAGAGCTTAACCACTTTATGTAAACTATTTACCTGCTGTAGTAAATCTTGAATTCTTTTGTTACCTGAAGACTTAGTGAAAATTTGTATGAAATTTATAGTGTAAAATAACTGAATTGCGTAATATGTTCTATTACCATGTGGTATTCATAAGTTTCTTTGTTTCGTCGACGTCGTCAAAAAGAACCAGTGTGATGGAAAAAATGTTGGCATTCATTAGCTATTAGCTATTCTTAAGAAAGGTCTAGAAATGTCTGTAACATGAAACTATATATATGATGGTTATACATATATATATATGATATATATGATGGCTGGTATACATATATATGATATATATGATGGCTCCATGGTTTAAAGCTATTTCACACCATGGAGAAGTTAACCAGTTAAAAGGAACATTATCGTACTTTGAACATTATTTTTAAAGTCATCAACAAATGAATATAAGCCTTACACTCAATCACTTAACTCACACTTTTCTTCAACAGTTACGATACTCGAGTGCCAGGCCCATCAGCGCATTGGGTGGACGAGGCCTACGTCGGGCGAGCGCACTGGCACAGCGCGCCCAGTGCTGGGCTGAAAATGTTAGAAATCAAAGGAAGAGATCGCGCCATCTACCGGTGTCGCGTGGACTTCCATGTATCTCCAACCAGAAACTATAAGATTGCACTTGATGTCATAGGTGAGTACAGAATTAGTAAAGTTCGAATAAATTAGGTTTTTTTTTATTCTGGATTTAACTGCTCTGTTCGTTGGCCGATGCCAGTACAGCTGCTGTGGTACCGGTTTAGATTTACAATTCTATACACCTAGTAATTATACAGAAAATTGTGATAAATGTTCTCATTATGAATAGGTATCAAACCTTCTTGGTTAGAATACCTACAAGAAGCATTCAAACTTGGAATTAATAAACTAAAAGTAAAAATATCGATAACAATGACAAGTTATGTAAATTTCAGTAAGCTTTATACCCAATAAGATAGGCTAAAAGGAATAATTAAAAATGTATTATTAAACTGCGCCTTTAAGAAGACTTTGTTGTAATCCTAATAAATTTATGTTAGGATATGACATTTTGGCTGGTGGCCAGGTTTTAAATTCATTTTCAGAGGACATGACGTAATATTTTGCGTTGTTTATTATTCTTCGTCAAGGTTACGTCTGACTTCGAAAATAGTATTCGCGAATTAACACTGAGTTATCACGCACCATTCGTTTAATTAAAATCAGCATGCTTCACATTCCTAAACGCATGATTTTATTATGTTTATTTTGTTTTAGTAGGTGTTACGTAGTATCACGCATTATGTGCATTGCAGACATAAAATAACTAAAAAGTTTTGGCACTCAATAATTTGTATAAAATTGTAAATGACGAATTACTATTTTACAAAATTAATGTGACGTGTGTTTAAGTGTGGGAGAGCCATGCTCCTGCACAAATGAGTCGGCTCAACCGGAGTGATATCACGGCTTCACAAAAAACCGGCGTGGAACGACCAAAGCGTTGTGTTTAACCGTGTGAGTGAGGTTACCGGAGGATCAATCCTTCCCCTCCCCAATCCCTAAATCTCCATGGGCGGCGTTGATTGCTTACCATCAGATAATCCGTCTGCTCCTTTGCCGACCTATCACATGAAAAAACAACCTAGGAAAGATTCATGAGATTTCTACTAAAAACTATCATCAACCAAAAAAACATCTATCATAGAAGAAATATGTTATAAAAATCTTTTCCGGATATGAATGAAAGAATCTTCAGCAAAAGTATTTCATGTAATAATCCGTAATATATAAATCCTTCACAAAATAACTCTTTTCCTTGAACCAACCAATTTAGTTTTCCAGCAGAAATATGACGTTAATTTATATCAGTACGTTGGTAATACGAATTCATTTCACTCCAGTACATTGAAGCATTTTCTCGAAGAAAGTGGAATCTAATTAAGTAAGACATGTCCGAAAAGCTCTCAGCTTATGTAAACATGAGCTTTTCGTGGAAATAGCTCAGTATTTTCTGGTATTAAGGAGAGAAATATACGTATTTTTACAGAGAATTACTTCATTTTATGGTGAATGGTAGAAATGGGACTGGGGAAATTGACCTTGGGAGCGACAATGTAATTATCGGGTTTGTGGAATAAAAGTAAATCTGATCTTGTTACGTGACTGTATCATTGGGACTAAGAAGTCGTTTTTTTATGTGATAGGTCGGCAAACGAGCAAGCGACCTGACGGTAAGCAATCAGCGTCGCCCACGTACACCCGCAACGACGCGACGGAGGAGTTACGAGTGCGTTGTCGACCTTTTGGGGATTAAAGATTTGGAGATTTTGGGAAAGGGAACCGATTGGGGAAGGAATGGGCCTCCGGTAGCCTCACTTACACGTCGAAACACAATTTTCATTCGTTATGTTAGGGTTCCTGTACGAATATATGGAAAGAATATTCGACATAAATCATTACATACTCATGACTTATTGGATTGGCGTTATAGATAAATAAAATTTTCGTCTCGATGAGATTTTCTATTATAATGGGTAGACAGATTTATTAAATACTGCTATGTGGAGTACGTTATGTTTCGATAGTCTGCCTCTTTAGTCAACTAGTTGTTAGAAGTTTGTATTTTATTTTACCTTCTTTAAAAAAACGTTGCCCTCCACTAAAATTTCCTCTTTTGTCATGCGTTGTCAATCCTTCGTCGATACCTAGACTCGGAACAACAATGTATGCATCACACAAAGAGGTGTGCCGTGCGGGAATGCCAAAATCCACGACACATTGCACACAAGCCTGTTGTCCTGCCTTCGCACTAATTGTGCAGTCAACTGTTGTGTTAACAGCCAGTTTTGAGGGGCAATAGCAATAAGGCACCGCAGCCTCGGCCCAGAGCATAAGAAGGAACAAGGGGGGTTTTAAGCCAGTAAGAGTCTGACGCTCGCTCTCGCCTCATCCTGGGCGGAAGAAGTCACTAGATGAATTTTCACTCAGAAAAAAAAAAACAATTTATCAAGGTATAGCCGAAATGAAGTAAATATAATTTAAGTTATTATTATTACTGAGGTTAGTTTTTAGGATAACTTTCAGACTTTTGTTGCCTTTATAAAAAAATTAAGTAGACTGTGTATGCTTGCATTTATGAAGGCTAAGAAACTGTGTTGAATATTCCTTGCATTACAAATGGCAATGTATTGTTAATGAATCTATATTACCAGGAAATTTCATATGCATTAACAATCATTAGAACATGCTTCATACATTTAACCCCGACAATACCCTTTGTAACAGGTTGTAGGAGGTCGGCTTACGACTTTAGTAATCTAACTCCTGTCTTATAACTTGCTCAGAATTAAGCTCCTTCCAGTTAATTTCAATTTCAAATTAATATGGGAATAGGGTGACGTCGAAATTATACAGTTCGTTGATCACTTTGGTAATTTATTGAACTTTTAGTAGTGGGTGGTAGTATGCCTTTGGATGGACGATTTGCGTAAATTTTCCAAATATTAGAATCGAAGATTCGTATTTTTGTATTATATTTACAAAAAACTAGCCACTTTTGCGGGACTGCAACTTTTCAGCTTTATAATAATTAATAGTATCTATATACAGGTATAAAAATTAAAGATATTAATTATTACGTCACTGAGAAAAAAAATCAGAACTTTGAACTATTTTCAGCCAGTTTTTGAATATCGCCATTCCACCAATGTATTCATGCTCTCGTCGAGGAGTAGTTAAAGGGATGACATGCCGTTCTAGCCTTCTGCCTTATGCGTGTGCTTACCGGACATGGAAGCTTCTGCAGGTACCTGTTTTGTATCCGACGGGAGGAAACGCCTGGGCGTTGTTATTTTGAGGACCACCCGGAGGCCTAGGTAAAGCATACGGTGGCGGTGTACCCGGCTGATCAGCAAGTTCACGCATCCAGCCTTAGACTATGGTTCTAGCAATAGTAAAAAACATGGACTCATAGAGTCAATAGACCATCATAGATTGGGTCCAACAGGGCTGATGTTTGGCCGGGAAAGCGGATCAAGCGCAATAAGATTCCGCTGCCCCGGCCTAGACCAGGAGAAGTAACGGGAGGTTTAAGTCAGTAAGAGTCTGACAATTCGTCTCACCTCACCCTAGGCAAAAGAAGTCATATGAAGATTTTCCCCTCACGCAACATAAAAAAACCATCCGCTTATAAACACTCATTAATAAACAATTATGCTCTACATTTTAAATAAACACTGAATCAAATCCGACATTATATTTAATATAATCCGAAATTGCGTTCGTTAATCCTCGGCTCAAGCATATTGATTACATCAATATCACATCACGATTATTACACCGATTTGTGGCATACGGCCATGTTTAACGACGGATAATAACAATATAACCAGATATTACCAATAAGATTATGACGCTGTATTCTAGATCTGCCAAAACGAAAATCGTGGCTTCTGGGCAGTGTTTTTTGAGCACGGATTACCTGATGGTATGCAACCGGTGCCGCCTATAAACACCGGAGGAGTTACGAGTGCGTTGACGACTTTTTGGGGATTCGAGTCTTGGAAATTTAGGGATTGAAGAGGTTTTGGCGAGGGGAAGTATTGGGCCTCCGGTAACCTCACACACTCTGCAAAACAGAACGCTGTGGTGGTTTAATGTCGGTTTTCTATGAGGCCGTGGTATCACTCCGGTCGAGACGACTCATTTGTGCCAAAGCTTTGCTCTTCAACACTTAAAAGGGAATTCCTCATTAATGGGTACAATATTTTTGCAGTCATATTTTTGTGTTAACTAATGACAAAAGTATACTTCCAACATGAAATGTATTCTATCAGTTATTTAAACACCTTATAAATAGTCAATTTTATTTCAATAAATTCACATTTACCAGGCAATTTGAAAACTTGAATGATTAATATTCAGTGGTCACTTTCGCTACTAACCACTGGTACTTTAAATATACAATTTCAATTTTACAAGTAATATTTAAATTTATATTTACTATTAAAACTACGTGTATTTATGATTCTCACTTATAACAATATATTCTAACTTGATTCTTTAAAGAAGATGATAAAGAAGAACCTTTTATTTATAAATTAAAATCTGTATTCAGAAACTATTAAACCTATCTGAATGTGATCGCCATGCAGATGGGTGAAACTCTTAAATTCTCACATAATCTCGCAACCGTATCTGCTCTCCCCTTTTTGTATTTTAATAAAATAATTCACCTTGAAATGGCTGCCCAACAAAAGCTATGAGCCGTACCGTGAGGCAATCTCGATAAAAACTAGTACGATCGTAAACTTGACCCTCTGTTATCCTGGTCGAATCAACACGAAAAGTTTAAGGGGGAGTCCAAACACGCCCTAGGATGATTTACGTTCCAAAGCTGACAGTAAAAATACGGGTCAGTAGAAATTAAAATTTTATGAGGACTTACCAGATCCAGGAGTGTATCGGGATGAGCAGACGACGGTAAAATAGATTACCTGCTTATGTTACGACCTTCTTACATTTTACGATATTTGTTAGGTACAACATTTTGTTTTATGAATGAAGGATTAAGGTTTGGAATGAGGAGTGAATAATAAAATTGATATGGCGATCTAAAAAAATGCAATTTGGAGCAAATTACCTCATCAAGACTGACACGTTAAATAGAGTACCTACTTCTGTTTTATTATTCGGCTTAAAGTGTCACGTCGCTAGTTTCTTTATAGGAAGGATTTTGTTGAGATAGTTACGCAGACTTTATTTTAGGATTCCCAATTTCACTTTCTCTTACTCCTGTTCTAATCTCTGCTTCTCATTGGCTTCAAAGCTAATATCCATACTAGTGATAATAGCAGATGACATCTCATTATATTGAAAACCTGCAAAATAATACTAATACTCAATAAACTGCATAACAACTCTAACACCGTACTTAGTAACGAAATATTTTAGGCATTCCAAATAATTACACGTCTTCCAACAAAATAACAATATCGCACAGAACCCAAGAATGGCACATGGTCACGATACTAACCATCAAAAAACCAATTTAGGCCCAAGAATGACAATTCCGTGCGATTAATGTTGAGCACACCACTTCAAGGTCAAAGAGGTGATGAAAACGGTCCACTTTTCACATAAACATTTATCACCTTATAAAAACAAGATCCACGGATTTCCATTATCTTTTATTGTAAATCTAAAGCTGTACCTGTTTTATATTGCATTTATCTCAACGTTTTATCTTTCAAAGGACAAAATAAAGGGGCTTTGGTGGATGTCGAATTATTGTTAGTACTTCAACCTGAGCCGTAAAGAGCCATTTAGATACGATGTTCTTTGAACAAATCGGAGATCACCATGTCCGTGTCAATACGAAATTTCTGTTACCCTAAAGTATCAGTATTGAAGGAACTTTAGTGTTAGTGCTGGGTAGAGATAAAATCTCGCAAACTGTTCTGAAACGACAGTGACTTTCGGTAGTAAGACTGCTCTTTTGCATAAAACTTACATTGAATTTTAGGACGCATGAAGCGAATTAGATATTACGTAAAGCGACAAAGAATATTTCGCTTAGGTATATGTTTAATATTTAGTCTTCTTCTTTTTTTATGTAATAGGTCGGCAAACGAGCAGACGGATTACCTGATGGTAAGCAATCAGCGCCGCCCATGGACACTCGCAACGGAGGAGTTACGAGTGTGTTGTTTAGGATTTAGGGATTTGGGGATTTAGGAGGATTGAGGAGGGATTGGGGGTGGGGAAGGATTGAGCCTCCGGTAACCTCACCCACACGGCGAAACACAACGCTGTGGTTATTTCACGCCGGTTTTCTGTGAGGCCGTGGTATCACTCCGGTCGAGCCGTCCCATTGTTGCCGAAGCATAACTCTCCTACACTTCTATGGATTCCGTACATATTTTATGCTCTGTTATCATTATTTAGAGTGTTTTTTACTTCGTATTCATAAACAACACCTTAGGATACTCCAGAAAAGACATAAAAACGCTTTGTTATACATAATCTTAAACAATCCCCTCTTAATTGCACTCCAGAAAAACAGTAGAACAGAAAGTGTAGGAAAAATACATTATAAAAAAATTCACGCCTTGAGAGACGTAAAGAAATTAATGAGGTCTTTAAAACAGATAACAGCCTGTTAATTAGGGGCCTAGAAGACTAAGAGGGGGTTCCTTAAGTGTTTAATTATACCTTTTGTATCTTAAAGACGAAACGACGTGTAAAATTTTATATTGCCTACCATTTAAGCATACTTATCAGCTACGGCGCGAAAGTTACAAAAATTACTAGCTACTCTCACGCGGTTTCACCTGCTGCTTGGCTCCATTTAATCTTAGCGTGATATATATAGCACTTAGGAACATTGTAACTATCCATCAATGAAAGAATTTTGGAAATCCGACCTGTGGTTCCAGAGATTACCCCCTACATACAAACTTACAAATTTTACCTCTTTATAGTGTTAGTATACTTAGATGATAATTTTAATTATTTTAATATTAATGTTGTGTTGTTGTAGATGTTTATTTCTTAAAGTACACAGTTGCCACTTACCTGTTGTTTAAAATGTTTGTGCTACGTAGTCTCTTAAAATTTATCCTTATATTATACGTATTATTATATTATACGTCACAAAAAGGTAATTAATTGTGTGGAAAGTCCTTTGGATACTGTTATAGTTATATTTTACTACCTTTCTATTATGGAACATCTGTTAGTTTCCCAAAGAACAAGAAATAAAAAATAAATCATAATCAGTTTAGTTGTAGTTTTTTTTTCAATGATACTTTGTTTTTTGCATTCTTTATGTTATACGGCTACACTTCCTAAATCTTCAATATATTGTCGAACGGAAACCCACCTTTTTGTAGGAAAACACACGTTAATGCTACTATCAGATATTGAAAAACTTATTCTCGAATAATTTGAAATAATAAATCACACTACGTATGTACCCCACTTCCAAGAAACCCCTGAACTTTCCAAAAACACACCATCAAAACATTTTCTTGAAGGGTTCCGTCGACTCATCTTTGTTTACAAAAGCAATAATGTCTTTATGTGTCACTTCCTCATATCCTGTATCAAAGAGGGCACGAATTCGATTCATTCAATTATCAAAATAGATAATTTAATGTCGACTTCATTGTGTTCTTGTGAAGCTATTGTTTATTTGTACTGGGTGAGTCTAACAAAGAAATAATGGGGAAGGAAAAAGATGTTTAGGTGGAAGTTTTCTTTGAAGACAGAAGTATAGTTAGAATGTTCTGTTTTTTGTTTAAATGTCTGAATGTAGTTATTGACTTAATAAACGACGATCATTAAACAGAAACACAATATCAGACTGTATATCACAAGCTATCACAAGTGCGGATATGCAAATGGCGAGCAAGGGTACCTCGCCAACTGACCAGGACCAGACCAAAACGTATGGCGAGTCGCGTTTCGCGCTCTCTTGGTCCCATATCCAGCCAGGAATTGCAAGTGCAATGAGCTTCGGCCCCTTAATGGAGCAGGAGAAGACATTTCGAGGTTTATGGTTAGTAATAGTCTGACACTCCTTCTCTCTTCTAAGAAGTAAATTAGTTTTCCCTCGTCAAATGAGAAAGATTTTATACCACAAATATTAATAATCTCTTGATTTAAGTATTCATAAATTGGGTACTACCATAAATCTGTTGCTTTAAATTACTACCAGATCCAGTGAAAAATTTTACAAAGATTCAGAAGATGTTTATACTTTTGTCTAGTATGATAATAGCAACTTCTATCTACATAAAATTAGAATTAAACAACCTCTAAGCCAACAAGACAGCTTCTAACCCCTAATTTCAAAATTAATACCATTAATATAATCACACTAAGTACACACGAATATGAAAATGTTTAATTAATTAGCTATGATTACGTTTCTTTGTTCAGTTAATAGAATCTATTAATGGAAATCTTCGCGTGGTGTACATAAATACGTCTATATAATGAGACTCCTTTATATCAGATGGAAATAGGGGTTCTGACCCGTTTTTCTGCCTCTATCTGACTCGAAATCAACACGAAAAAGTTAAACGGACGACCGAACTTTTTTACGGAAACTTTTTTATTGGCAAAGAAAAAGAAACACATTTTGCTGCCTTTTGCTTTAGTGGTTGCGGTTGGTACTTACTTTATGTATGAGATTTCATTTTCGAGAGTGTTGAGGGAAATATTTTGGTGAAAATGTTACCAGTATTTTGTGAGTCAATACTCTAATTAAGGTTTTTCCTCTGTTATTTTTCAAAAAAAGGTAAAAAGGGCGGTATTTTTGGGACCTTCATTATACAAAATTTCCATTTTTATTAATTATGTTCGGAACCAAAATAAAATTTCAAAAAAACACAAAAATACAAGTTAATTCCATGATATATATCCTGAGTGGTTTCTTAACTTTTCTGACCATGTAAGGAAGTAAAGCTATCATGTCACAATTGTTTATCATAGGTGTTCGGACGAGTATTGAAACAAAATATTATTATTTGTTTAATCATTTCCGAAGTAAGTTAAATGGAAATTTCGACGCTTATTCTTAGAATATTTTTGAATAAAACTAAGTTTTTCATTGTCTTCAATTGTTTATTTTAAATAATTAATTAATAATATTATCAATTTTTCTTCGTAATGTATCTGAGAATTTTTAAAGTGAAACGCTATGTTCAGAGACGGTTTTGGAATTAATGAGGTTGGAAAATGAAACAACCAAGTTTTTTTCTTTGTATTGTTTCTATTTTTTAGACCAGTGTTGTAAAGTTTTTGTCCGAAATCACTGCTTTACTCAAACTAATCAATAAAAAAACTTTTCTTAATTGTTGTGTGTAGTGTTACTTAAATATGGTATAATTATGGAACATCGTTACAGGCATTGCATTGTAGGGACTCCGCAGTTAGTCTTCTAAGAGGACCTAATATCCTCCACAGGTCCCCACGAAAAAAGAGCAACGTAAAATAAAGTATCTATCAATTTTTTATAAAACATTTTATTTTAATGTAAATAGGTAGATATTCTCTTCTTAGAAACTTTTTTCAATTATAAATATATCTGACAAATCATTCTACATTTCTTGAACCTTCTCTACCTCTCTATTGAGTAGAATATTCGAGAAAATTATAAGAGACAGCTAGTCAACGCCATGATTCCGTTTTTGTTTTGTGACATTTTGTGACATCCTTCAATTTGTCTTCTAAATTATATTAAAACATGAAGAAGAATTTTATTGCTCGTTGTATTAAGGAATAAATTTCAACAACAAATTTATGTTGTTTAATTTATAAATTAATGATTTAATTTATATTAAACGAGGATGGAACAATTTTAATTATTGCAGTATATTAAAATTTACTGTGTTAATTTCAAAACTGTTTACTGTTCTGAAACATGCAAAAACAAACAATCGAGACGTACCCGCTAGGCTAGCATATTTGGACCGTTATAAAACTGCAAGCTACAGAGAATTTCATAAATCGATAACTCCAACAATACTTCCACGCTAACAGCCGCTTAAATTTACAAGTCAGACACACCGAAATAACTTACAATATTCAAAACTCGATTACCGTCGGATCACTCGATACAGTCGGTATCGATTCGCAAGATCGAAAAATATGCGGATATGCCATCATCGGCAGATATTCCCCATTCTTGGGCCCGAATACCGGGAAAATTCTCATTTCAGTCGGCCCGCACTTATGTGTAACGTACGAAACAATGAACGGGTGGCAGATGTTCATTTTAGTAAGCGATACCGTTGCACGGTATGGGTATGAAAGCTTCGGATGATTGCCGACAACCTCCTCTGAATACTAGTAACGCAGAACCTTTTGTTTTGACTCGACGAAAATATTTTCATTTCCTCGACCACATTCGGGCGTAGGTACCTAGTTTGTGTATCCCCGATTTGAGGATATTCGTTGAGTGCCTTTTTGCGATTCACCGCGTACTGATTTCATTTTGATTGTGAATAAATTTTCAACGATAACATTGGTAAGCACTATTGTTTTTGCGTTTTATTTCGTGTCGAGTGTATTGATTTGATTGTTCCATTATTAGTAGCAACATACGTAGCAAACTTTTTTATTTAGTTGAACGTGATTTGATCTTTGAAAGTTTTTTTTTTGTACGTGGATAACAACTCTGATGTTTTGTAACTAGGCAGATTTTATTTCTAACATCAAATTACCCGTGAATGAAATGAACCGTACTAAGCAATACAGAATAGTTATTTTCACCTATAGGTTTATGTACATGGGTCGTGGACTTGGAAGTCATTGGGAAGCCTATACTTAACAGTAGAGGTCTGTGTGACCGATATTATAATGACAGTACTGATGGAGAGTAAGGGCAGCTCGCCGCCCGACCAGAACCAGGCCCGGGCGAACGGCGCGTAGCGTACCGCGCGTGCCTCTTAGAGCCAACAGACCACCACAGACGGGGCCCTAAAGGACTGATGTTCAGCCAGGGTTGCGGGGTAAGCGCAATGAGGCACCGCGACCTCGGCCCAGAGCAGGAGAAGGAACAGGGGGGTTTTTAGTCAGTAAGAGTCTGACACTCCCTCCCGCCCGGCCCTGGGCGGGATAAGTCATTTGATGATTCTCCCCTCACAAAAAACGTACTGGTGGAGAATTATAATGGATCTTCCAAGTCTCATCCTATGATTATAATAAACGCAAAAGTATTTTAGGTATGGGAGAACCCTGCGAGCTGGCTTTACAGCAGATACTATGGCTTTAGATATTAGCACTTGCATTGTGTTTCGCCCTGTGAATGATGGTACTAGAGGTCCAAATCTTATTGCTCCATCCACAATTCAAAATTAAAGTTTTTGTAATTCCTCTGGTATTGTTGTATGAGGCGGCGTGGATTGTTTACCATCAGGTATCAGTGTGGTAGTTTTTTAAAATTATATATGTATATGCATGTTTGTTACTCTTTTACGTATAAATTTATTAAATTAAAGGAAATAACTTTATGCAATCCATAAACCATAACATTCAACAAAGCCACGTCTTAACTGGAACACAATAAACAATTTTCAATATAGCTTTTAAAATTATGCTTCGACCACCTATAAAACATTATATATTACGTAGAACTTTTCATTGCTATATCGTGCATAAAACAATTCTTTGCGCTAAAAACGGGTTGCAGCTTTAAGTGCAATTTTTTGATTCAATCTAACAATTGAGGTAATAACCCTTTTATAACCAGCCAATAAAATACTTGCGGCTACACAAGTGGAGTTATTTTAAGTGACGTTATCGTGACTTTGTTTCACCTCGTTTTTTCTTTTGTTATTAATTTTACTGCTACAAAACAACGTTAAAGTTATATGTTATTTGTCAGATTTTATTATTTTATTGGCGTTAGTATAAGCATTCGATCACAAGAAACTTTGGTAACTTTTCTCTTTCTTTCTCTCTTTCTGCTTTCTTCTATCCGAACTCTCGAACTATGAAATTTTCGGGTTAAAGTCAAATTTATTCGAATTATATAAGCAACAAAATTTTTTGGGATTTATTGTAAAGATTTAATGCTTTCCGTTTAGGATATGTTTGTTAGTCACAACTAAAAAGAAATTGCGTTTTTTAATTCAAATTGGGAAAAAATTCAATTTTTTTCTTTCCAAATATAGTGAGATCTACGAAGAAATCATATCATAATATAATTATTGTTATAAATTGATAGTTATCAGAACTAAACTATTGTGTTTCTTTACAGAACTTCCAAGTAAGCCTGTCATCTTTGATGAGTACGGGAAAGAAATATCAGGAACTGCTGGTCCTTACCACGAAGGAGGAGAATTCAAGCTGATATGCTCCGTTAAAGGAGGTAAATATACATTTCATAATACTCAGAAAAAGCTGATATATACGAAAATTTTTTTACTATACTAGAAACTAGAACTAAATAAATGATGTTCTACAATATTATAAAGAAAGGAGAATTCGTCACTCACGATTTTGAGCCAAATAAGTAATTGCTCACATTTTACAAAGATTAATCAACGAAACTTAGCAGGCGTGGCATTTAGACTTAAGTTTTGAAACTCTCCGACACACAAATACCCCCTTTTTTATGTAGCAGACGGATTATCTGTTGGTAAGCAATCAACGTCGCCCATGGACACCCGCAACAATAGAGGAGTAACGAGTACGTTGCCGTCGTTTTAAGGATTGGGTATTGGATATTTAGGGAAAGGAGAGGGGTTAGAGGAGGGTAAGAGGAGGTCTCCAGTAACCTCACACGGCGAAACACAACGCTGTGGTAGTTTCACGCCGATTTTTTTGAAAGGCCATGGTATCGATCATTTTTTAAATATGTACTTATACATTTTTTTAAACAGTTCCATCTAAGTTTTGTCGAAAGTAATTTGTACGGGGGAGCTCTAAATGTTGATTTTATAGCACAAAATTCTACCAACAACTTGATCCAACTGGGAAATGAATTCAAAAGTTGAAACGGTGTTACTACGGGTTATAATAACCAAAACATTTGTGAAGTAAAAAGAAAAAACACTTAAGTTGTCCAAAATAAGTTCAAGTGAAAAATATTCGCAAAAACAGGTGACCCAAACGCAAAGCTTGCTATTTAATATGTAGATCTGGTTCTATTTGAAAAAAATATTTTTAGAGCAAATTCTGTTTATCTATACATGCTAGACTGTATACACATAGATATTAATAAGTTTAACTTGCCTATCAAAGCATGCCATGCGTTATTAAAACTTAGTCTCGATTCGTAAAGAAATCCGAAAGAAAATATAGGTATATCAATTGATCTTCACACTTATTACACGTTCTGGTCAATATTATCAAAGACAAACAAAATCCCCGAATCGTTTTGAAGTCTCATTGGTACTTGGCTTCAAGACCCAGTGCTTGAGATGCGGACTCTCAGCCATCACCAAATATAATATAAACAGTACAAAATACTGGGAACAAGACACAAATGATCACTTGAACAGACTCATCAGATTTGTATCCACTCAAATAAAATTGATAGAAATGTATCGTTTATTTTCTCCCCTCCTGGACATTCTATCTTCAACAACAGATTCTTTGATGTCAGCCTTTTGATATTTTCCCAAACATTTTTTAACTTTACTAAGTTATCCGCATTTTTTGCTCTTCTAATTCTTTTACTTAGAAATGTTGTGTCTACAAAAATTGATATTACATTTGTGGAACAAATAGCACAATCATGTTCTCATTACGTAGGATGTAATGTTATTTGGGAACAATGGGAGCTTCATTGTGTTGTATCGTTTATTGTAACTTTTGTTTCAGGTTACCCGACGCCTCGGATTCAGTGGCTACAAGGTGATACCGTGTTGGCCACGTTGAGCGCTGGCGAATATTCACCACCAACAAGATCGTTGACCTTGGTCATCAGAAATGCCACGAGAGCGCATTTAGCAGCCTTATATACTTGCACTGCTGATAACACTTTATTAGCTGCACCACAGAAGACTACTGTGAAAATTGATTTGTTTTGTAAGTACCTATTGCATACATCATTTAATCTGTATTGCTTTTGTTCAGCATCAGCGCTAAATAATTCTTTATGTATAATGTTGGTGAATTGACGAAAGACTCTTTTCTTACGTGTATTGGTAATCCACTGGTTGTTGTCAACATAAAAACTTGTTTCTTTATTAATAAAATCAATGTAGCAAAATATTCCTACGACACACAGCTTAGAAAAATCATTGCTTCATTTATTATACTGACGATTTCGCTGTATTACTCCATATGCTTCCAACGAGTTCTATAAATTAACATTTCAAGGAAAACGGACTTTTTCACACAAGTTGCTGACAGGAAAAATGACGGTTAATCAGGGATGTGAGCAATAAAAGTGTAATTAATTTTACTATACAACATATTGTTACGTGCCTGACGTCACGTTCCTGACTATGCGGGCTTGAGTTCGGGATTGGATGAAATGAAACACTAATACCGGTTTTCAGACTTTCTATTGCACTTAAGTTACAGCGTCCTCGGAGTTAAGTTATCGACGTTCCTCTCCAACAGAGTCCGGCCGACTGACACAACTTTGCCGTTCACGCTGACTTAACCCACTTAGCTGACTGCACTTCACTATTTCACTCACTTCACTATTTCACTCACTTTTCTTCTTTTTCACTTCTTCCTTTTCTTCCGAATCGCTTTAGACTTAGAACTCAACTGCCAGCGGTGAGCCGCAGTTCCGCTTATATACCCCCGGTTCAGGTTCTGGAACATTCAATTTCGTTATTCTTTTTGATTGTCATGACTCCAGAACCTTCCAATAATTTCGTTACTCATTTTTATTTATTCTCCTTCTCGCTCTTTAATTTTTTTATTTCTTTCACACAAATAGTTCCAGAAAGTTCCACAAAACTTCTATCAACTAAAAAACTACATGTTTACGGCGGGACTCGAACTCGGGGTCTCTGTGGTGTAATCCACACGCCTTACCGATTACACCAACTCGTGTTGACAATTCACGACGAAATTTACAATCTCTAGGCAACGTTTGACAACCATCCATTGACGTCATGATGTCAAAGAGTTTGAACCACTTTTCCGTCACACTGCCCCCCTCTTAGATTCGCTCGTCCCGAGCATCGTTGCTGCCGTAATACCTCGCCAACCTGTCTATATGGACAACTTTCAAAGGGCTCCTTGAAGTCTTCCGAATTCTGTAAGTAATGTCATTGATCTTCGTGACTATCTCATAAGGACCTTCCCAACTCGGTTGCAGCTTCGGAGATTTTCCCTTCCTTCTGACTGGATTATGAAGCCAGACCAATGACCCCTCTTCAAACCCAACAGAATTGGCTCGTCGATCATAGCGCGTCTTTGCGCGATCACTAGCTTGAAAACCGGCCTCCCTGATCTGCTCATAAATGTCCAACATTTTTGCCCTTAACTCGCTTATGTAATCGCTAAACTCGGTGCGAGAGTCGCCAGGTGGACCGCCCGATACAAGATCTGCCGGTAATCTCAATTCCCTTCCAAAATTTGCAAATGCAGGCGTCTTTGCGGTACTTTCATGTACAGCAGTCCGATAGGCAAGCAAGAAGAGAGGTATGTAAGTGTCCCAATCTCTCTGATGGCTGTCAACCACCTTTGCTAAGTGTCGCTCCAATGTTTGGTTGAAGCGTTCGACCATTCCATCTGACTGTGGATGATAAGGGGTCGTTCGAGTCTTATGGATTCCCAAAAGTTTACAAGTTTCCTGAAAAACTTGGGATTCAAAGTTCCGTCCTTGATCACTGTGCATCTCCAAGGGTACTCCAAATCGGGTGAATACTTCGTTTACCAACTTCGTCGCTACAGTTACTGCCTCTTGATTCAGTATGGCAAAGACCTCCGGCCATTTTGTAAAATAATCCATAACCACTAAAACGTAGCGATTGCCCGAATCAGTGATTGGAAATGGTCCAGCGATGTCTAAGGCTATTCTCTCCCAAGGCATACCAACATTGTAGATTTTCATCGCCCCCCTGCTCCTTGTTTGTGGACCCTTGACAGCTGCGCAACTAGTGCATTTCCGGCACCAATCTTCGACATCATATTTGCAATGCAACCAATAAAACCTCTCCTTGATCTTCACCAAAGTCCTCCTAATTCCCAAATGTCCTCCAGAAGATCCATCATGGAACGCTTTTAATACATCCTTTATTTTTGAACGAGGCACCACCAATTGCAAATGCTCGTCCTTGCCGTTTGTTGATTCCCATTTCCTGCACAGAAGTCCGTTATGCAGCGTAAGGCTTTTCCACTGTGCCCATAAACCTTTCGTTACCGCGCTATATTGGGCGACGTCACTCCAACTTGGCTTGTTACCACTTCGTAGCCACTCCAGTATTGGTTTAATATCTGCATCTCTTTCCTGTTCTAATTTCATCGCATCATTTCCCCATGCCTCGTCAACAGTATCAGTCCTTATCACCTTAAGAAAAGCAGTTTCCTTCTTAGCACAATGTTTGCAATCTTCCACGCATGGGCGTCTCGATAATGCATCTGCGTTGCCATGAATTCTTCCTCCGCGATGTTCGATTTCAAAGTCAAATTCCTGAAGTTGTTCCAACCATCTGGCTACTTGGCCTTCGGGATCCTTAAACTGAAGCAGCCATTTCAAAGCAGCGTGATCTGTTCTGATCAAAAATTTCCGTCCCAGTAAATACTTCTTGAAATGGTGCAGGGTTTTGACTACGGCCAGCAATTCCCTCCTGGTCACGCAATAATTCCTCTCTGGCTTGGATAGTGACTTGCTGAAGTAAGCAATAACCTTCTCCTGCTCACCATCGCGTTGTGAAAGGACACCTCCTATTCCAATATTGCTGGCATCCGTATCGACTACGAATATTCCTTTCGCGCTGGGATATCCGAGAATTGGTGTGTTACAAAGCCGTTCTTTTAGTTCTCGAAAGGCTTGCTCACAATCCTCGTCCCAAACAAAGGCACGTTTCTCCTCTGTCAATCGATGCAATGGCTTGGCAATGTCCGAGAATCCTTTCACAAACCGCCGATAATACGAGCACAATCCAAGAAATGCCCGAACTTGCGTTTTGTCTTTAGGTGTTGGCCATTCCTTGACAGCGACAGTCTTGGCTGGATCAGTCTCAATTCCTCTCTCAGAAATAACATGTCCTAGATAATTCACTTCGCGCTTGAAGAAAGAGCATTTCTTTGGACTCAACTTTAAATTTGCTCCACGCAGCTTGTCGAGTACCTTTTCCAATTTCCTTAGATGATCGTCAAAATCCCGTCCAACAATGATGATGTCATCGAGGTAAACTAGGCAGGTTTCGCCCAGCAGACCCGCCAGCACCTGTTCCATCAAACGCTCAAAGGTTGCCGGTGCATTGCATAATCCAAATGGCATCACCTTAAATTGCCAGAGTCCCTTCCCAGTTGAGAATGCGGTCTTTTCCTTGTCCTTGGGATCCAAATCCACCTGCCAATAGCCGCTTTTCAGATCGAGCGTTGAAAACCATTTCATGCCACTCAGTGTGTCAAGTGTGTCATCGATTCTTGGTAACGGGTAGCTATCCTTCTTGGTTACATCATTCAATCGTCGATAGTCTACGCAAAACCTCGTTGAACCATCTTTCTTCTTGACAAGCACGACAGGTGAACACCAAGGGCTAGAAGAGGGCTCTATCACGTCATTTTTCCTCATATCGTCAATCATTTGTTCAATCTCTTTCTCACGAGCGAATGGTATGCGTCTGGGCCTTTGACGAATTGGCATTGTATCACCTGTGTTTATTTTATGCTTCACCACACCAGTTCGGCCAATATCACCATCGCTTCTTGAAAACACATCAGAGAATCGAAGAAGTAAATTTCTAGCTTTCATAGTCTCCACTTTTGTCAGACTTTTGTTTTCGTCTAAGATTTTCGTTACAAAGTCTATTCCCGTACTGTCCTTTTTCACAAGATTCTCTGAGCATTTTCTTATCCAGGCCACTTCTTCCAATACGCCCACAGGCTCTCCTTCTTCAATCGTAATTTTTGAATCACTGAAGTTGAATACCGGAATGCGGTTGACATCAGATGACCCCACGACAGTTCTTGCCGGTAGCCATGAGTTTACGTGTTCCGATTTATCAATCACAGCGCACCTTCGAGGTAAACTTCCTTCCCTCCTAGGTAATGCGATTGGTACGAGAGTCTGTGATTTTGGTGCAAGAACAGTTCTTCTTAAACAGCAAACTTTTCCTAGGGTTCCACCCTTCATCGGAATTTCCTCAGTTCCACATAGTAAAACTCCAGATTTTAAGTCGATGTTACACTGGTGCCCTTGCAGGAAGTCAAGTCCCAGGATGCAGTCATCCAGAATTTTGGCCACAATAACCTCATGTCGATAAACACGTTCCCCAATTTTGATTGTTACATGCAGTTTTCCACTTATCGGTATGCACTGGCCGGTAGCTGATTTCATTTGTAGGCCAACAATTGGTTTAAGTTGTTTCCTGATGTTTTGCTCGAGCAGCCGAACATTTATTACCGTCCTTGAAGCTCCAGTATCTAATGTTAGCTGACTGTTTTTCCCATCTTTGGTTTGCTTGATGTAGATTGTTGGGGTTGTTCCACTACCAGCCAGCGCCCAACCCGCAGCCCTGGCTGGATTTAAGTTTCCCTGCTGGTCAGAAGTTGAGACCGCCGCGTCCTGGCGGTTCACCTTCTTCGGGCAGTTGCTCCGCATGTGCCCACGCTCTCCGCATCCATAGCACATGAAGTTCCGACGGCGTGGAGGTACCTGCTCCGTTGTCGTCATTTCCCGCAGACGTAAGGTTCGGGAGTTACCACGCACGGCTTCCACTTCCAATGCATGGGCCAGAGCTTCTTTCATGTTCTTGTGATGGCCCAGATGAACAGCGGCTCGTACTTCGGGGTCCCGAATACCGTCAATGAACGCTTGGAGAAGCGTGCCTTCAATCATTGACGGAGTCGACCGGAAAGCTCGACGCACAAGTTTCTCGATTTCCACGGACCATTGCTGTAGGCCCTCATTAGCACGCTGAGTACGCTCTTTTAATTGCGCTCTGTACACGTGCTCGAGGTGGCTGTCTCCAAAACGTGACTCAAGTGCGTCGAGGAGGGCACTAAAGCTGAGATCCCCACTTGCGCCGATAGCTTCCAGCACTGAGAGCGCTTGATCACGGAGGGCCAGGGTAAGGGCTGACTGTGCTTCCTTCTGAGTCCAACCATAAGCCTCCATAAGTGTCTCAAACTGTAGCTTGAACGCGGTCCAGGATGTTGTTCCGTCGTAATGGGGAATCTTAAGCCCTTTCGTTGCACTTGAAGCCGCATTTGGGGCTTCAAAAAACGGCTGCAAGACGGCTTCGGCTCTTCAAAGGGCTTGAGCTTGTCACTTCCTGCTTGATTTTGGAGATCTCTTCTTCCACTCTCTCCTCTATCGCCTTGACGCGATGTTCCAACTTGCCTAACCCTTCCTCCACTTCTTGTACCCGTTCGACAGCCTTTTGCAGTCCCTTCGTGAAATCCTTATGCATGTCTTCCAAGCGACGCGCTTGCTCCTCTTGGCGGCGAGCTTGATCCTCTTTCAGCTCCCGTAGCTGCTCCGCCTGACGGCGTGCATGCTCCTCTTGGCGACGAGCTTGCTCTTCTTTCAGCTCCCGTAGCTGTTCTTCTTGGCGACGCGCTTGCTCTACCATTATTTGCTGCAGCTGTAGCAGTAGATCCACTTGCACAGGTTTGGCTTCTGCATCGCTGGTTTGAGCTGCAGCACCCTCTTCCCTCACACGCTGCGCTTCTGACATTGCACGGGTACTCACTCCTCTTACGTCCTGCGGCACTAGCGGCATTTTTCTCCAATCCCACTTCTGACACCAAAATGTTACGTGCCTGACGTCACGTTCCTGACTATGCGGGCTTGAGTTCGGGATTGGATGAAATGAAACACTAATACCGGTTTTCAGACTTTCTATTGCACTTAAGTTACAGCGTCCTCGGAGTTAAGTTATCGACGTTCCTCTCCAACAGAGTCCGGCCGACTGACACAACTTTGCCGTTCACGCTGACTTAACCCACTTAGCTGACTGCACTTCACTATTTCACTCACTTCACTATTTCACTCACTTTTCTTCTTTTTCACTTCTTCCTTTTCTTCCGAATCGCTTTAGACTTAGAACTCAACTGCCAGCGGTGAGCCGCAGTTCCGCTTATATACCCCCGGTTCAGGTTCTGGAACATTCAATTTCGTTATTCTTTTTGATTGTCATGACTCCAGAACCTTCCAATAATTTCGTTACTCATTTTTATTTATTCTCCTTCTCGCTCTTTAATTTTTTTATTTCTTTCACACAAATAGTTCCAGAAAGTTCCACAAAACTTCTATCAACTAAAAAACTACATGTTTACGGCGGGACTCGAACTCGGGGTCTCTGTGGTGTAATCCACACGCCTTACCGATTACACCAACTCGTGTTGACAATTCACGACGAAATTTACAATCTCTAGGCAACGTTTGACAACCATCCATTGACGTCATGATGTCAAAGAGTTTGAACCACTTTTCCGTCACAATATATTTTGTTTTATAAAACAAGAGAATAATTAGTGACCACATTGTTTTTCAACCACTTCGGGTACTTAAAACATTTACGCCCATAAAAAATGTAACTGTAATAAAGGATTTAACCTACGTAATTTCGCTTTTGTATTACATTAAACAAGATTATAATAAAAGTAAAATATGTGTTCTCTCGATTTTTTGGCAAACAAATAAAATTATCTTGACAATACCGAATACGCAAAATGTTTCTGCAAAGATTCGATTGGCACAATTATCAGAAAATACTGAGAAATAACCTCGAACAAGGATTGTTATATTCTTACACTCAATAACAGATAGTTATTAGGATTCATTAACACCAAGATTCGGCTAAGTAATGAACTGTGTGTTAACCAATAATCCTTTTTCGACTTGACTTTTGCGCCAAATAGGGCAAGACCCTCAGTATTACGTATGGATCGAGAAAACACTGCCGTATATTGTGATAGTGCTTAGCTAGACACATTTTATTTTCTTAATACTAAATAGAATTTTAGCATGCGTTCTGCATGACCGTGGAAGCAGATTTTAAAGTGTAGGAATACTCAGCTGTTCATTTTTGGCGATATCAAAGTTGCATATGACGATTTACCTCGATACTTACCAGAAAATCGTTTAAGCATGGAACTCCATCTTATTTCTGTCTTCCTCGTAGACGAAATAAAAAAAATGCTAATTTTTAAAGCCAAGAGGTCATTTTTTGAAATACGTGTGGTGTTAATGGATCTGTTGTTCGTTTTTGCTCTTAAAACAAGTCCAAAGAAGTTCAAATACCCTTTAACTTTGAGTACATGTCCTCGATAAACTTAGATTCAAATCATTTACCAAATTGCAGATGAATAAATATCCGTTAGTATGTGTACATTTATTTATCAAACTAATAACTCACGTTTATAGTAATATAAACTTAAATAGGTAATAGTTTCCTCTTCCATTACACTTGCAGATACTTATACGCCATTTGGCACACAGGTGTTTAATTAAATATTATTGGTTTACGTGTCGTCTTAGTAATTTTCTATTTCCTCCAACAGCTTTTCGAGTGAATAATACTCTTTGATATTACATAACTTTTACTTTTTACCAAGGAGTATTAGTATTAGGTTTGTTAGGTATAAAAATCAAGTTCTTGCAAACATTTCTGTTCTAAATCTTCTGCACCTATTTTGACTGTTCAAAAAGGATAACAATTTATGTAGATGCATATTGTATACTTGACACGTGTCTTACCAAGACCCTTTTATACCAAGACACTATCACTATTTTACCAAAATTAAGATTGTGACAAATCACGTAGAAGATGCGATGACAATAATAGATGGAATCCTTCGTCCTGCAAGTGATGTTTGCGCACGACTAAACGCAGATAGAAAACCCTAACATTACATCTGTTGAGCAGTAGGAAGGCCAGGCAAGATCCCCTCGCTTGGTCAGAGAATTTTCCAATCTTGGGAAACTTCTCCAAAAGATTTTCTCAAACCCTCGTCCAAACAGACAAATAACAATAACAGTAGATACCCCCAAACCCTCATTATTAAAACAAAAGCAAAATAAAAACGTCGAAATACAAGCTTAGTCCCTTGGTGGTCGTCAGAATATTTAATATCGAGGGCTAATCAGAAATAATGTCACTTTGTGTTAACTCTCCTTATTTAAGTAGTATATAATATTTATAAGTTAGTCTGTTACAAAATTACACGTTTATCGATGTTGAACTGACTGTTTTAAGCACAGTAGCAACCGCTTGGCAACTGACTGTTGAGCATTATGTGAAAAGTCTGACTTAAACACAGAAAAAAAATTTGTACGAGTATAATCAAACCTAAGTACGATGTGTTTGTCTAATTGTACTTATGCTTGTTTCGCTTTTTCGAACCAAGGGCAACAAAAATCTCGGTCTAAGTACATCATCTATATTCAAGGACAGTGCATACGATTTACCGCTAAATTGATTGGTTTTTATATCGGTAACATGATTTTTAGCTTTAAACAAATGCAATTAAAAAAATAACATATTGTCTGCCGGTATATGTATGACAAACAATAGAAAAAACATACTGTCTCGCTTGGATCTGCGCTCATGCATATGACGAGTTAACAACTTGATACAGATTGACAAAAAATATAAGAAAAACAAAAGTGGTAGCTGTGAAGTCTGCTCATTCACAGCTACCACTTTAGAAAGGACCACAATTACTTTATAATTTATAGAGCAAAATATAAAAATTTTCACCCATAAAAATAAGTTAACAATCTCGAAAAGAATACATAAACAACATCTTGATAATATTTTTTTTACTAAATACTCTAAATCAGTGGTATCGCGAGCCACTAACTAAAAGGTTAGAATGAACTGTGTTAGGTAAACTTTTGATTGGTAGTTAAAGTTACCTTGTCGTGAAAAGATGTTATCAAAATTACAACACGAACTCATTTGTGAATACAAATGCCTTGTTTTTTGTCCGGACTGTTTTAAATGTTTATTAGTTTCGTACATTATTCTTCTAAGCTTGTGCTAGTCATGGTTGCCTTTGTGTTAAACTATGACTCTATTGTTTGGAAGGTAATTTTTGAATAGGTATTTATTTATGTAATACGATTCATGCGCAAAAATGTCGTACATAATGCCATAGACATTCACTTGACTACCAGTCGAACCTTTGGGTGATGCAGTGGTAACCTAATATTATTATGACAGGTGCACTTACAAGACAAGCAAATTGTGGAACTATAATAAATACCATTTACTGACATAAATGTCTTACTCTATAAGTTTTTAATGTTTTTTATACAATTTTTCTGATTAATAGATACCAATCAAATAGATTAGTTTACGTGAAATAATTAAATATTTAACAAAAATGTTATGGAAAAGACAATATTCTAAATTAACAACATGACCAAATGAACATGATCTAAATATCAAAATAGTTGACATTATTTTTTCATAACTCCTTGAAATCGTTGTCGATATAAATATTATTCTAATTCTAGATCAATACCAAAGGAAATCTACACTTTTTTGCTCATCACATTTTCTATTTTATATTCATCCTTTGAACCCGTCGTGATCTGCAAACCTCAGGTCTAATTATACTTTATTCTTGTTGCAGTAAAACCATTAGGAGTAGAAATAATTTCGAGAGAACAGCCTCTGTCTGTCGGTAGAAAGTCAGAGCTATGGTGTAAGACGATGGGGGCTAGACCTCCAGCAACAATCACGTGGTGGCTAGGCGGAAAAAAGCTAGAAGCCATCACTAAGGATTCGGTAAGTAGAATTAAATTGCAATTTATTAAGTTCTCAATGTAAAGTACATTGTTGAAATCCCTTACTTATCTTTTAGCTCTCAAAACTAACAATAGTTTATGAGACTTCGTTATCTCTTCATTTGAGACTTATTAAGTGTAATACTATCTGTAATCATTAAATAGAAGTTCCTATTAATTGAAAATCAGTCAAAAATGTGAGAGCAACTAATTCTTCTATTGTTCTTTTTTCAAATTTACTTTTTTGAATCAGCAAATAAAAAAGTGGTTTTTACTTACCCATTTCCAAATAGCACTCTCATCATTCACTTATTCGATGCAGGTCGTTTTAACAACATGTTTTCAAAATTCTAAACTACTAAAACAATATTTTGCTTATAAAATTTACATAATTCCAAAACAGGGTGTTGCGGACGCGAACGAGACCGAGTCGTTACTACAATGGATGCCATCAAAGGACAATAATGGTCAAGTTCTTACGTGCAGAGCAGAACATCCGAACTTTAACCATTCTAGCATTGAAAGCAAACTGCAGTTGAATGTATATTGTAAGTATGAGTTTATTTTTATTCCTACATTTCCATATTTGTTGGATTTGAACACGAGGAAATTTTCATACGTTACTTATAGACATTTCGATATGCATGTTTATTTTGCTTGATTTACGAATTGATTTTGGAATAATTTTTCTGCATTATATCTTATTTTTTTTTAATTCTTGCGCGCGTTTTTGTTTCAAAATACCACCAAGGAGCCACATTACACCTTACCTTAATAAAAATAATTTGTTAAAAATGAAGTCACGTCGCAAGTTGCATCTGGCTTGTCTCCTCTTTGGTGTCATAAGATCCAAATGCCCGTCATACCTCTACTCGAAGCTCACTTGGGTGAATGCACATCGCCAGCGAGAGGGTAGGCGTTGTGCGCAGCAGCTGGCTATACCGCATCACAGATCCGCTGCGTTTAGGGGTAGTTTCAAGTATGCGGCGTCGAAGTGCTGGAACAATATCCCTCCGCCAATCAGAAATCTACAAAGTTTGAGTACTTTTAGAAGAAAGCTCAAAGAGTTTGTGCTTACTAACCAAATAAATAGCGCCGAAATAAATATTGACCTGTCTTTTATTTAATTTTATTGTTTAACTATTTTGTTTTGTTTTTTACCGATTATAACTATCACTAATTTTCTAATTAAAACATATTCAGTCACACATTTTACATTTTTTACATTTTATATTATCTATAAATAATCTGTCTACTCAATTTTATATTATTATGTAATTATATATATTTAATAAATTAAAGACTCACCCTGTCACGGCTCGATTTTTCAATCACACAATAACATCGCGACGTGGGTATACGGATCCACGGACAAATGAGCGCTGAACCGCGCAGCAGTATGTAACCGACGCGACACCCTGATTACCCACAACTTCTGAGTTTACTACTGCGATTTCATGGTGTTTTTATATTGCAAATACCCCACGGTACATTTCAATTATAATATCCTCATATTACAAAATGTTTTTTTTTTCCTAGTTTGTTTTTGATATATTCTGGTATTATTTTTTCATGTTTCTTTTCTTCATTTGAACTTGATCTTTGCTCTTATAATTTATATTTAATTTAATTTCTTTCTTATATTATAATTTGAACGTACTCGTTATGCGTTGCTTTCATCCGTGCGTCACTGCAGGGGTGCCAACTGAAAATCAGTGTTGGGTGCTCAGTGTGCCCAGCTTTTTGCTGAGTTGGCGACCCGTTCGGTTTAGACATGTCTGCCAACCCTGTAGAACACTGTCAACACTGTGTGTTCTGCTGTCTGCCAAAACTGTATATTTAGCGTATTTTTGTTTTTTTTTTGTCTTTTTAACCTTTTTATTGTTTTTTGTGTTGTATTTTTGTTTTTTTTTTTTCTGGCTTTCATGTCTGATGCCGAATAAATGTATTTTCTTTCTTTCTTCTTTCTAATACTACGAAGGGTATAACTTGATTATTATTATTTTTATGTAGATCTTAGATTTGTTACTTGGATATGTCAACTAAATTGTTTTAGTGTAGTAAAGTGTTTTGAACTGATACTTGCTTTTACAATAACTCTCTGAAAACTTAAGGGCATGTTTTCATTGTCAAACTCATTACGCTGCTTCCATCTAATCAGTAGCAAATCGAAATATCTTTTAATTCTTCACAGCACCTACATCAATTTTGGTAACGTAGACTACAATACGATTTTCAGTGTTAGTGATTTTAGTCATAGAATGGTTTTTAGTCAGATTAGAGTCAGACAGACATCCATCCAGAGCGAGAGAAGTGATTAGACAATAGGTATTTTTTACCTAAAATAAAATATATCACATACGAAAAACATATTACATAAGAAAATATTTGTAACAAACGAGTTTTTCAATAAAACATTGCTGTTTTGTTTGCTGTAAACAACTGCAATGCAGAACACACCCCTTTATGCATTAAGCTGTCCGTCAATTTGTTTGATTTCAATTAGGACGGCAAATAGGCATTCACATGTCTAAATATACAATGGTTGCAAAATAAAATAGAAAAAAATAATTACTTAATTTGATTGGATTGAAATAATTCTGATTACAATACACGATCCAATGAATCCTTAGGTGTTTCTTTTAGCACCATATCATCAGCCTATGTATATGTACATATGTATCTACTGCTGACCATGAAAAGCCTCTCTCTGCTCCTTTTTATACGGAGAAAGTATCAACATTAATCACCAAACATGTTCATATAATCATGTTCACGAGATAGGTGCACAGAGGGACATATTTGGGCCACAGCGAAATAAGTCTTCATTTATTTATGTATTTATTTAATATACCTTATGCACTTAGCACATTAGTGACATTAGTACTTTATACCAGGGAGTAATAACTTCCATGGTGGTAATGTAGAAATAAGCCAATGGCAGCTATTACATTTTTCCTATACGAATATCCAAATCCAAACTTTTATTCTAAATGCGAAAGTAACACTGTCTGTCTGTCTGTCTTTTCTTCACGTTTAACTACTGAACCGATTTCTGTGAAATTTGGTACAAACATAGTTTGGAACTCGAGAAAGGACATAGGATAGTTTTGTACCAAAAATCTGCAGGAAGTCACAATTCCACGCGAACGGATTTGCGGGCAAAAGCTAGTATTATTATAATTATTATATGTAAAAACAATGTTATTTCTACTTAATAAACATTAATTCATGTGTAAACGTTGAACGAAAATACTTAAAGAATTAAACACATAGGTACAATGTACTGAACATAATATGTATTTCTTTACACACGAAAACTTTTACAAATAATAAATAGTAAACGAGTAAAAATTTAATGTAAAAATTATAAATTTACCTTGTAGGGAAAAAGTGTATAAATATTTTTTTTTAAATTAAATTTGAACGAATGTTAAAAATAACATGAACATATTTTAATATTGAATCGTATCAATAACTGCTGGAGCTTCGGTTCCGGTTTCATATTTTGTTCGACACAGATATAACTAGATATATACATATAAACGTATCTATTTTATAGTGTGTTACAGGTGAAATGCACGGTCAAAAATAAAATATAATATTAAGCTATTTCATTTCACTGGTCAAGCATTTGGACATGGTAAAACGTATAAATAAATACAAGCATATTTTTTACGTAGGTTACTTAGGTTACTAGGTTTTCCCGTGTCGTAGGTGCGTTTACAAATATGAAATCCACATACATAAACATCCCAGGCTCAAAACAATAATTTGTAGATCACACAAAGTGTTATTCCATGTTGCATAGCAGCTAATTGTCCAGCCACTACGCCAACTATGGAGTAAAATTTAAGAATAATATTATAACAATATACAAATTAGTAGACAGTTCATTCCAGTACATTTTTTTTTAATATTTAAAATCAAGCCAAATTAATAATATTTTATTTCCATACTACTACCTACATACAAAGAAAATAATTTTATCGAAAAAAAGTACCTACGTATATTTATACAACAATGATAAACTATATTTTTATTTATGTACTTTGTACATACTAACATTGTTTCCAATTTAATAAACTTCCTAATAACAAAATTTATAGGCTTCATAAACGGTGTATCCAAACCAAAATTCCAAACATTTCATGGGATCAACCCCCCCCTTCCCCTACAAAACCAATTAAGCTAGTGGTATTTTGCATAATGTGCCGTGCAGCGCCATAATTCGAATTGTCATAGCTTTGTTGCTAATCGGTCGAGGGCAATTAATAAGCCGCATATCGGACGCTTACTTCAAGATTACTTGGAAATTGCCCTTTTTCATTCGAGTCATACAAAAATGAACTTTCTTTACACGCTTGGTACTATACTTTTGTCATAATTCATAGTTTACTACGACGGCAATAGCACGCCTAATACCTAAAGATGTAGTCAGAGGTATACATAGAAGTGAGTTCTTGTGTGGGTGAGCCAAGCTTCGGTGCGAATGGGTCCGCTCGATAGGAGTGATACCACGGCCTAACGGAAAACCGGCCTGAAACGACTATAGCGTTGTGTTTCGCCGTGTGAGTGAGGTAAAAGGAGGACCAATAACCGCCACGGTCGTTCTCTTGCTCAAGGCTGCGGTACATGGCTCACTTCACCTGCAACTTCGGCTGAACATGGGTACTGTGACAGGTGCGCTCTATCGGTGATGATCTATTACCTCTAGAGGCGCGTGGAACGCTACATGGCATACGCTCAGTAACCAACCTCCAAGCTTTTATAAAGAGTAAAATTTGTAAGTTTCTATGTAGGGGGTAGTCCTTGGAACCGCTGGTCGGATTGCCAAAATTCTTTCACTGATAGATAGCTACAATGCTTTAGGCTACAAAATATCACTCTACGATTAAATGGAGCCGAGCAGCGAGTGAAACCGCGCGGGAGTACGCATTATTTCTTAGTTTGTTTCTGGTGTTTTTTTTTAGTTTCGTTATCAGTGGTCTAGACTAGTTAATATTTCTGTACATTATATTAAAATTACCATTCAATTATGTTCAATTCGATCAAAAATTATTTGCCTGGCAAAGACACAGACAGTTAATAAAGCTTCATTTTGTTACTTCGAAGTCACGTAATAACTCTATTTTTAGCAAAGTTTCAAGTATTATTTTGCTACTAGTAATTTGCGTAGAACAATACATGGCGTGTGTAGGCGTCAATATTTTCCTATATTATGAGTTTTTAAGGGCAAACGTGACCAGTTGTTACTTAGAAAATTAAAATGCATGCTAATTGTTATTTACTGCACTTTTTGTGATATGAAAATGTATTTATTGTGTATAATATATTTTGGAGCTAAGTATTGTTCAATTCTATGGTTCTGGAAAAGTGTAAGAGTGTGTTAACAATAATTACATGTGTTTACATATATAGCGTACACTTATATTTTTTCTGTCGAGTAGTTGGTTCATTTTCAATAGTCTTTAGTCGGTATTATATGATAAACTACATAATTATGAATTAAGGTTTACGCTTGCGTCGTGTTTGAGGTGTTTTTTGG